TGGAACGAGCCTTGTTTAAAAGTGACTTAAAAAGGGCAGGGGGAAAAAAGCCCTGAAAATGCATGGGTATCTGGGTCATGTGTCCCCTCGTCATCTGAGAGCTCAAGGTATTTGTGAACCTCCTCTCCCACCAGTGTTATCTTGGTAGCGAGGGAGGCTGGTCTCTGGCCCTCCCGAGGGACCGTTGTTTGGCCCAAAGACTGGGCCCTGGTGCCCTCCTTTGCCGTTCTGGAAACCTGGGTTGGCTGTTTATGTTGCCTCATGTCTGAGGCAATGTGCAAGGAAATGGCTGAAATCACAATCTTTTGCAGGCTCTCTGGTAGATTATCCAGATCAGCCAGATCCTCATAAGGGTTTGCAGCCTCCTCCTCCACCTCTCTCTGTGGAGCTAGGGTAGGCCTGGATATTAGGTGCCCTCCAGGAGGTCCCCATCAAACCCCTGATGGCACTGGGGGAAACAGGTGATGAGGGGGAAACCTCCAGCCTACTATGTCTCCTAGGCCTGACAGGAGATAGTGGAGGCGAAGATGAAAGGCTGGTTGGTCTGACCAGTGATCTGGACCTGGGAGAGGGGCTGGACCTGTGTGCCTGCACCTCTCTTTGTTGCTCGGCCCGAGCCACCCTCTTTTCCAGCCCACGTTGCCTGCGTTGCTCCTCCCTAAGAGTAACCTGTGTTCGGCACTGAGAGGCCAAAGCTTTGGCTCTAGTGGCCCTAGTAGGGGGCCCAGGGGAAGAATCAGCTATCTCAGGGGAAACCTCTTGGTCTGGGGCCTTGTTGGATTCAGGGCTGGGGTCTGCCATCTTCTCTCCCTCGGGAGATACTCACGCCAGCTCTCTCTAGCAAAGGCTACGAATGGTGGCTTGTCTGCAGCCTCTTAGCATGGCGTGGCTGTCGCTTATCTAGTCGCAACGGTGATGCTCCACATGGCCATCTTCCAGTGCCGTCCGGCATCCACGGCATCTTCAAACAGCCATCCGACACATGCAGCAGCTTCAAAATGGCTGCCCAACACACGGGGCCACTCCAAAATGACTGCTTGGCCTGCACAGATGCTCATAAAGTCTCTGGAGTCCCGCGGCGAAATGAAGAGCAGCCATACTGACTGAAAGCTGTTGCAGCATCCGGACTGCCGAACAAGAGTAGGCTGCCCGGGAATCAGCTGCTCAAAACCAGTAACTCCCAGTGCCAGGAATCGCCCAGGCTTTGCATGGCCAACAGGCCCAGAGCAGAAAGCTGAATCAGCGCTCCAGTGCCCCAAACAGCTGGCAAGGCCAGCAGCTCTCTTTTTAGAATTTTGAAAAAGCCAATTAAGTCAAATCAGAAAAATTTGCTCAGGAGCTAAATTTAATCACAGTCACCTTGACTAGACTGAGTGATAAACTGGAGCTACAGAGAAAGAGGCGTGGCTTCAAGTTTGACGCTCAGCCTAGACCAATCAGGCTGTGATAATAACACCATTCTGACCCTTCCAGCAATGCCCTGGAGAATAATATAAAGTAATCTAAAGAATCTGAGCATATGCAATTAAAATAAAATTAAAACTAACAGTAAAGAAACACTTTGGCTCTTTATCAGTTATGTTAACTATTTTCCCAAATGAACAAGCCAAGAATCCGCACTTATTCTCTCAAATGTCCTTTATTTTCTCAAATATTCTACATACAGCATTTTTCCCACACACCAAATTACTCTTTCTCTCTCAAACCCAAAGACAATGGGATATTGTCCTCAACTTCTGCCCCAGTGAATCTGTTAGTAGTGGAAAAGAAGCTCTGAAGAGTAATTGCAAATAATGATAATATTGGACACTAAAATTATTTTCTTTTACTAGATATATAGTAAATGTAACAATACATATATATATGTAACAAAGGCAACAGTAAAAATATTGGGTTTCTGTCTGGATGGCCTCTTGTGACGAGCCGATAGACAGAGAATGGAAGCAGTAAGTGTCCTCCCATATTTGGGCATACCAGGGGTTGTGACACTAATTACATACCTATTTCCCTGGCTCAGCTGATAAAGGAGGAGAGCCTGTGGCTTAGTGGTTAACACATCTGCCTAATATGTAATACAGCCCAGGTTCGAATCCCAGTAAGGGTATGACTAGCTGATGAGAGCTAAATAGCTTGAAATAGATCTATATTAGTCTCCCTTTATTTATTTATCAGCACAAATACAACACACACACACCAAACAATTAAGTATTGCAGAAGGTTATCTACAGCTGAACATTTATTTTTTAAAAAAGTCCCATGTGCTAAGGTTCATCTACTGATTAGATGTATAGAACAATTGTGACATTAGGTAGTTTGAGTTCTCCTAGAACTTGAAAATCTCAAAATATTCAAAGTTAACATGGTAAAGGGTTTCAGTTGAACAAATTATGAGCTTTCTAGATAATTATTGAACTTTCTCTTTTTGTTGATTTGAGTTTATCCCTTGTTTACATTCTTAATGAAAATCTCAGCTAAACTGACAAATTATCATATATATTACCTCCTCCTTGATGTATGAGTCCAATTTAGAAAATCCTGAGTAAATGACTGTCCAACTTCCACTTGAACATATTCAGTGAAATGGAGCTCACCATATCCCTCAGTAATTAGTTCCATTGTCAAATTGATCTCAACTGGAATCTGCCTTCCTGTAACTTGACCACTGTTCTCTGTCCTGTACTTTGGGAAAACAGAGAACAGGTTATGGCCATTTTTTATACTCTTCAACTACTTTGAATGCTTTCATACCAACTAACTTTGTCATCTTTTCTCTAGAGAAACAAAGCAGCCAGTTTCATCCATCTCTCTTTCTAGGATCTAGTTTAGTCCTCAGAATGAAGATCAATTTTTAAAAGATTTTTATCCTACTTAATTCAAGGCAGAAAACACACCACTACTCATTCCTCCTATTTTCCCCAGAACAATAACCCTGTGAGGTAATTTGGACTGAGAGACTGAGTAGCCCATAGTCACCCAACTGGTATCAACAGTGGGAAAACAATTTAGCCACTACACTAAACTGGCTTTTTTAATTAAAAAAAATAGATACTTGCTTATATTCCATGCATTGAAGCCACAATGAATGTTGAGTTAAACTATTCACTGAAAAATTAAGAAGAGCATTAATGGATTCTAATAGCATTACTCTTTTTTACTTCTTCAACATCACAAGGTTTTGCTTTATTTTTCTTTAACTCCCAACAGCATTCAATTTTAAAACTTTCTATCAAGTTTGCCATGCTCCTACTGAACATATTCTTCTCACTTCCTATGGAGTGTAATTCATAGTATGCCTATTTAGAAATTTAGCAATCTAATTTCTAAATTAGATAATGCAATCTATAATTCACAAATATGAAAAATGGATGTAAAGTGGGTCTCTACTTCCTTCATACTGTCCCAGAAAACTCACACATTTCTTGTTTGCACCTTTGACATTTCATCTGAAAAAAATGTTTGGTTATATTGGATGAATCTAATCTTCACAATAAAGGTATCAACTGGTTCTTCAGCAATATGTAATTTTGATCTCTTTTAAGGTGAAATACATTGCTGAGGAAAATAGGTTTAAGGTGGTGGTTCAATCTAAGTATCAATTACCAAGCTAGATACACATTTCCACATAAAATAGACTCAATAAAAACAAGATACGTTGATAACCATTTTACTCAAGATTAGTTCAAGATCACCCAAATAGAATTTTTTAAATCTTCCATTAAGAATTTGTAAACAAAGTATGTTAAGTTCTTTTTCTCATTCACCACTATTTCCAAGAATTGTCCAATACAAATACTACTTTTTTGGAATAATCTTTCAAGTTTTTCTTGTCTTTCTTTCTCAGGATTTCTCAGAATTGCTACTCTCTCCCAAGCCTATAGCTTTCACACATAATACAATGATTAACACCATCCCTTTACCTAGACATCAGCTTGCATTCTATTTCCCTATCACACAAACATATGACTTTCCCCATTCCTCCTCCCTCTATTCCAGAATCTCTCTCCTGCATTCCCTATAGTGTTTTATGCAATCCATCTATTACATGTCTTCCATTCCTTGGTTCCATTTCTAACTCTCGTGCTTTCATAATTGCTCCTTTGCTCAGCAGCCCCCCTCCCCTTGCTGCATTGTACCTAAGACTGATGATTCCATTATTGTTCTTGGTTAAAAAATAGAGTTACTGCATAGTGTGTGTGTGTGAGGGAAGGAGGGAGGGAGGGGGAGGGGGAGGGGGAGAGGGAGAGGGAGAGAGATCTTAGATGCATGCCCTTTAAGCAACCTATATACAATGCAATTTTCTACAAACAAATAATACTAAGTAATTACCTAAGAACACAGTTTGACCTAAAATACGTTTCTGATTGAGCCTCAAATCAATCAGTATGCCTGCAAGTATAAATTATATTTTTAGGATAATTAAAATACTGTCTCTCTAGAATGTTTTATCAGCTATAAATGCTGAGTTTGATTATATTTCCCATATTCACTCAGTTTAATATTAGTATTTTACTACAAATCTCATAGTAAGTATGATACATATTATAAAAGTCTGCCACCCATTTATGAGGAAAATGATAAAATAAATCAATATAATGTGTTACCTAAATACATTTTTCCCACAACTCTATTGTGGAAAATAGTTGTGGATTACCTGTAAAATTTCTAGAATAAGTAAAAAATTCTCCTCCCAGAGCAATATGTTTTAATACTTTTAAAACATATTCTGGTAACATAAGGCACTGATACTACTATGAATGACACATCTAGAATTATGTGACTTCGATAGTTGGTACTGTATAAAATCAAACAAATGAAACTGATCACAGTCTTCCTTGTTAAATATATTTCAATTAACATTGTAGATTGTTTTTGTAGTACTTAAAATGAAAAAATAGAAAGATGTGATAATAACTCATAACTGAGAATACACAAGTCAACAGGAAGAACTGATCAACAATGAATGAATAACCTCTAATTCATCACAATCAGTGTTGCCTTACCATGAATTCTTCCAGTGTCTGGTAGATTTTCCCACGGAAATCACAATAATTTTTACGTTCTTTGCATTGTGGACAGCACTGAGTAGTGTCAACATGAATACAGCGAGGGTGGAGTCTAGGACATTCTGGCTGAATGCACAGTGGGCCTTCTTCAGTACAAAGACAAGGGCATGCAGAGGGTCCTGGAGTAAACTTCTCCCCAATTGCATAAACAAAGCCACTCTCATCCACACAGCCTTTTCCACGGTAGTCTGGATAAACATATTCCTCTGGGGGTTCAGATGTAGTACCAGCAATAATATCTAAGACAGAGAAATCTTCAGCAGCAGGAAGTTCCTCTTCAATATCTTTGATCTGATTATGAGCTTCAAGGTTCCCAAACTTATTATTACTTGTTGCCTGAATACTCAAAATCTGTTTTTGCTTTGTCCAAGATTCTTTATTAGAGTAATTTCTGTTACCTTTGTTTTTCCAGTCCCTGGTGCCTTCTTCTCTTCCATTCATAGTCATTTCATTCATTTTTCCTGGTCCATGATTCTGTCTTTCCTGGACTGATGATTGATATATTTTTTCCTCACTTGTTTTTATCTCCTGCTTGCCTTGAGACTTGGATAGTTTTTGTAATGGTGTAGTAGAATTACACAGAGCAACCATCAGGCAGCATGTCACAAGAAGGGAACTAGAAAGAGCCCCAATTGCCATTGCAGTATTACTGGGCATCATCTAAGGCATCCCAGACGGACAAAACATATTTCATTCAAATCAAAGGATGTCAGCCAGTCAATACACAGTCCCTGGGAAGAGATGAGTTGAAACTTCAAATAATTCTGCATTTTTATATAGAAAGCAATATATATAGTTTTTATCCAGTATGTATAAAATGAAAAGCAGGATAAGAAAAATACTGAGTCTTAGAGATTTAGTTTCAAATTATAGCCTAACTATGGACATGTTGGTCATTCCTGAACCGACTGATGATTTTCAACTTGTTCCCCACATCTGAGAGGAGAATAAGGATCTATATCATTTAAATAGCTAAATAACTTTTTAAAAAAGAAGCAGGGTGAGAAATTTGCCCTCTTAGTAATTATATATCAATGGGGAAGAAAATCACTAAAATGCCTAAATGTCAATACAAAAAAATTAAAAAGTACATTAACTGAGGGAAGAAGTTGAGAAGAGGAAGTGATACAATTGTTTCATAATAGTAATAAATTCTAAGAAAGATAATGAATTTACCTTTAAAATATTGGTATGTGTGGCTGTGTTTCAGAAAGACAGAGAGAGAAGTAATCATTTGTCAAGATTATCCAAAATAAGAAAAATTTAGAACATGCACTATAAATGCACCAATATTTTACATTTCTGCTTGTGCAATGATTTTTGTAAACTCCAAAACATAGATATGAAATGTCATCCTTCTCTCTCTCTCCTTCTCTCTCTCTTGGTATTCAATCAATGAGCAAAATAAATGTTCCTTAGTTCATAAAACATGAAGACTTTTTCTTGTAATAACCAATTATCTCAATGGATACTATATATAGATAGATAGATAGATAGATAGATAGATAGATAGATAGATAGATAGATAGATAGATAGATAGATAGATAGATAGATAGATAGATAGATAGATAGATAGATAGATATCTCTGTGTGTGTGTGTGTGTGTGTGTCTGTGTGTGTGTGTGTACACATACATACATATACCTATACACATATACATACATACATACACACACACACACATATATAAGCACACACACACACACACACATATATATATATATATACATACACATATACACAAACATAATCATTTTAATCAACATTTTCTATAATATATTGATGAACATGCTATAGATTCTCAATGGACATCTAAATTAATAAAAAAATTAATCCATAAATTAATCCATTTCTTTTAGTACAGAAAAATCCTATTGTCTAATGTTCAAAAAAAGGAAGCAAACGTTATTACATATAAACAGACGTTGAGAAAAGGCAGGGGATCATTTTAAATGATCAAATAAATAGTACTACATTTAAGAATGTTATCTTCAATTTATAGATTTCAGCATTATGTAGTATCATGTACTCAGAAATTAATCCTGTTATTCCATAAGCTTATATCTAAGCAACTGCATGCAGAAACAAAACCTTAAAAGCAAAAAAAAAATATTTACTGCAGTGTGAAAACAGTTCCCTATCCTGATGAAGGAAGTTCTAAAGAGTCTTTCTTTTCAACAAGTCTTTCAAACTGAGGTGCTCAATTTTTCAAAAGTAAAAGGGTGTTGAGGAGATATATCTTAGGAAAATTAGAGGAACATTCATGGATTTGACTGTAAAATACTTTCCAGAATGTGTTATTCATCCTAAATTTTACACCTAAACACTGGAATAATCCATCAGACTTGTTAGGATCATGAAATATTGCAACAATATACATATACAAGAGCACCCAAGATCATAAAGGCAACCACTTTACTGAAATTATTTATTTATTTAACGTATGGAATAGCATACATGGCCGGCCTAGCAAAATATATTAATATTTCACTTAGATCAGTATAACACTATATATATATATATATGTTCAAATGCCAATGTCTAGGCCGTTTGTTGAAGTTGGATTTTGCAAGTGCCTGAGGAAATGAGATGTGTTTTTCAAAAGCTTATAGCTTGTAGTAAAATGTTTTGTTCTGGAAAGGCTCTATCAGACATCTCCTGTTTTTTATCTGAGAACTAGGTACTATATGTTGAATTTCATTATGATAGAAACAGGACAGAAAATCCAACAAATAATATAAATCAAAAGCTCTTATGTCTTACTCTCTGTGAAGATTCCCCCCTCCATTTTGTATTCATCTTCATTATAAAGCACAATCGACATGGCATTTTATTTTATTTTATTTTAAAATAATACCACCAAATACTCATTTCAAGGAAACTTGGGTGTGAGCAAACAGATAGATCCAAGGATAGGATGGAAAACAACATATATCAGTACAGTTACACGGATTGTAGCTCAACGTAAAACAATTAAAGGAAATAACTGTCTATGATAGCCTTGCAGCAAGAAGGTCCTTCTTGGTTAAGCTTAATGCTTTGCCTCCATCGCTATACACATACACTGCAACTTTCCCGTCCCCCTCCCCGTCCCCAGTGCAAAAGTTCCCGCTATCACTGGCGCCCCAAAGGACCGGAAGAGCTCTTCCTCTCTTTACCTTCCACTGCATAGCCTTCATTAGGCAGATCCTTTCCTTCGCCTCGTTCCAGACTAGTCAGCCGGTTGCTCCTCGGCTCGGGAAAGCAAGTAACTCGTCTTTTGTCGCCCATCCTTCGTCTGGAAGGGAGAAGACCCGACCGGCGACTGAAGATGCCACTCCCGCCCGTTGCCCGCTTCTCTTCGTTTAAGAAGCGAAGCCTCAACCTCAGTTACCCGGGCGCAAAGACGGCTCCTCCCTGACGTTTTCACAGTGCGATCTCCTCGCAGCCACGCTTGCCGCCTCCTTCCTCTATCCGCATAAAAAGGTAGCCTGAAGCGCGCTTCCCTCCGCTTTGAATGGCTCCGTCCCTCTCTCGGCTACTTGCCCGATGTCCGGAATTTCTGCCTGCTGCGGAAACGCCATTTGTTGCCCCATGAAAGAATGACCGGCCGGGGTTGCCAGGGGTGAGAGAGCGCTTGCAAAAATGATGCCCGCAAGCAGGCTTCGAACTGCAGTAGTTGTGGGGTTGCCTCCTTGTCGCCTGCTCTGGTTCCCGCTTTTATGAAGTGGCGGGAGGAGGCTTATTTCTGGCCGGGGACTGATGACGATGATGAAATCGTCGTCTAATTTATACAGCGCTTTGCACATTAGACAAGACGACCCGAAGGAAATGTGAGAAAGACGGCAGCGCGGACAATGGCGTTTCTACTGCTTTTTCAAGAAGGAACATTGTGTTGGAAACAAGAGACATCAGTATGAGAAACACGCGTGCCACCTAACCTGCATGTACTGTAACAATTCAGATAGTATTGTAGGTAAATGCTGCTCCCAGTTCATTCATTTTAAATTATGCTTTCTCTAACCCAATCTACCTGATCTCCATATTTTGCCTTTAGTAAAAAGTAGCCAACTACCTCTCCCCCCCCCTCCCTGCAACGAGGAGTGTTGGGTAGGAAAGTATGTAATGTAATTTTCGTACTTTAACCCCTTCCAATGCACTATGGGAAGAATATGCAAGTACAGGTAGTCCTCAACTTACGCCCAAAACTAACCCAAAATTTATGTTGAGAGATTTATTATGTAAGTTTGGTATCATTTTACAGCCTTTTTTGCTTCAGTTATTAACTGCAGCTGATGTTAGTAACTTGGTTGTTAAGTGAATTTGGCTTCCCCATTGACTTTGCTTGTCAGAAAATTGCAAAAGGGGATCACATGACCTTGAGACACAGCAACATCATAAATATGAATCAGTTGTCAAGCATAGGAATTTTGATCACATGATCATGGGGATGCTGCAAAATAACTGTGAAAAATGGCCATGTCCCTCTTTTCAGTGATGTAACTTTGAATGGGCACTAAATGAACTGTTGTAAGTTGAAGACTACCTATCCCAGGAATGTCAAATTGGTGCCCACGGGCTGGATGCATCACGTGCAGACCACACATACCCCACAAAGGCAAAAAACATTGTGATAATTCACGTGACATGATCAAGTTTGACACCCATCCTTTCCTTTCACAACCCAATTCTAAGAATTCTAAGGTATACTTTTCAGGAAATGTTAATGTTGGACCAAAATAGTTAAAATATTACCAAATTTTGCTTAAGTGATCTTACCCTGTTTATATCTACAGCACAAACACTTTCTGGAAATACTATGATGTTGCCTTCATATTTTCATCACTGGTATGAAAGTATCCCAATTGCAAAGGCAGCTTTAAAATGTAAAAATATGTTAGAGTTTAATGCCTACTACCTTGAAATAAGTGACTCCAATGACTAGAAACAGGCAAAGAAAGCAGGGTAGAATAAACAATAGGGATGTCAGGTGTCATCTGATGGGTTCCTTCCAGCTCTAGGATGGAAGGATGGAAGCATTCAGCAATGGAAAAAGTCTTAAGTGAGGATTCTGCCTCAAGTCACTCTGTGTAGGTTAATTGAATTTAACATTGTTTTGGGCTAAATTTCAGTTATTCAGTATATAAATGTTTTAACACAAAATTGTGTTTATTAGAGTAGCAATACTTGCCACTTAAGGAATTTCATATGAGACAAATCTATCAGATTTGCAACCTAAATAATTTCCATAACAATCATGAAAAAAGAGACATCTACTTCTTGGAAGAAAGACCATTACAGTTCTAAACAAAACATTAAAGTTTAGAGTCATCATATTGTTCACAAAGGTATACTATCAAGGTCATAGTCTGAATTATAAAGTATATCTCCAAAGGTTGATCATTATAAATGCTAAATGAAAAAAGATTGATGCCTTTGAATTGTAGTGCTGGAGAAAATTGTTGAGAGTACCTTGGAACAGCATGAAGTTCAAATCATTCAATCATTCAAGTAAAACTAGAAACTGACTTGAAACACTAATAATGACACTATGGCTTCAATATTGGGATACCTAATGCAGAATCAAGAGACTAAAGAAGGTGACGATGCTTGGAAAAATTATAACTTCTCATCCAATTTGCCATTCATTTTTAGTATATATTGTAACTAATCCATTATAGTATCACTTTTATTCAACCAAGAATATTCTAATATATGAGAAGAAATTTTGATGAGGAAAACAGGTTTTTTTTCATTTTCCTTATTTATACCATCTTGAACTGACAAAATACAGTTGAATAGATAAAAGATGGGATTGAAGTATGATCATCATCAAAATCTTGAATACTTATTTTTCTGAAGAAAGGATGATAGGGTTCAAATCTTCTCTGAAAATACCAATATACAATTTGTAATCTCTTTCCAAGTAAATAGAGCCACCATATATGGGCAGCAAAACTGCTAGGCTCTACTTCTTTATGGTCATGTATTGTAGTCAGAATATGAGAGCTAATCATAATAGGAGGAAATATGTGTTTGTACCAGTTTTGAAGCAACCATTATACAGATTGCTTTAAACCTTGAATCTCTCTTAATTACTAGCTTTGCAAATTTCCCTTTTTGTCCTACTTCTGTGTTCACATATACATTTCTGTGAGCAAATGTATTTTCTGCTGACACAAAAGGCATTAACTACCCTATATTTTGTTTGCTGCTTTGAGAGTAATTTTTCAAAAAATAATATACAAATATGAAGAGCTCTTTAATTATGCAAACAGTCTTATCCCCTTGGATGAACACACATTATATGACTGAAATTAATGTTAGGCACTCTAGTGAAAAAACTAGAATTCATTAAAAAAATATCATTTGCAATCACATTTTCATGTGTTAAATGAAAATGTCAGATATGTAAGTTTAAGAAAACTGACATTCAGTGAAAACTGGTATCTGGAAACATTTTAGCTTATATGACTGACCAATAGAGGCCAGTATGTACTGTGAAATCTGAATGAAAAGGGATCTTATATTATAAACACCAAAGACATAAAAAAATTAAGATGTGGATTGATTACCTAAGTTAGGAAATAAAATTTTGTGCGATCCAAACTTACTTTGTCCCAGATACAATGGAACTTATTTATACAAATTTGGAAGGTTTTAGATTGCTCAATGCTACCGGGTTTGAGTTGCAAAAATCCAGATAGCCATTATGTGGCAGCAAGAAAACAATCTTAGTGTTCCACTTTGCTTGTTCCTCAGATTCTTGCAGCTCCGTTTTGATAGTTTTAGTTTTAGTTAGTCAATATATAAATTCTCCGTGTTACAGTTGCAAACTTGCAAACACGAAGAGGCAATCTACCTATTTTCCAAAGCACCAGAAGGCAAGACAAGAAACAATGAATGAAAACTAAACAAGGAGAGAAGCAACCTAGAACTAAGGAAAAATTTCCTAACCAGTGAAATGTCTTGCCTTTAGAAGTTTGGATACTTCATCACTGGAGGTTTTTAAAGAAGAGATTGGAGAGACACTTGCCTGGAATGGTATAGGATTTCCTCTGCAGAGGGTTGGACTAAAAAATCTCCAAGGTCCTTCCAACTCTATTATTCTGGTTTTTTCCCCCTGGCTTCTATTGATGCTGGACAACGGGGGTCCATAGCCCCTGGTCCGCAGCCTGGTAACTTTCTGCACTCTTTTGGGAACTCCATCTAAATGCCCTACTTCCATTTCTAGATGCATGCTTTAGACTTTTGCAGATAGAAACAGAAAAAAGCTGTTGTGTAATAAGCATATTATTTCAAGATAGAAACTGGAAGTAACAGGCATTTATTTATAATCCTAAAGATGATAATTGGACACCTGGTGTCCAACCCCCCCTTCCCCCCATTTAGTTTTTGGGGGAGGAACAGTCGAGGTCAGCAGATGCTGCCACCTGCTGTGACACATTTACAGCAGACAGTTGTTCATTGAATAAAATATAAGTTTAAACCATACTAAAATTTGATTTTCATCTAAGAAACATTTTTCTTCTGAACATCTGCCATCAATTCATTTCTTGCCACTACTATGGTTTTTTAAATGTGTTTGTATGTATGTAATATTATTATAAAAGGTATATACTTGTTATTTACATGTATAGTAAATATAATTATTAATAATTAATAGTAATTATTAATACAAATAAGTATGTATACTTATATACACTATGTATAATATACTATTACCATCATAGCTGCAAAACTCCTCTGTGTACTTCAAAAAGGGACCTTGAAAATACAAATATTGGACAACCCTGTTATATTTTTTGGTACCTGCAAAGTTGTTACTCGGTTGTTCGGGATCTGTCCTTTACCATCCCAGAATATACAAAATGTAGAGTAACAAAGTTGGAAGGGAATTAGGAGGTCTTCTAGTCCAGCTCCTTGCCCAAGCAGGAGTCTCTATACTATTCCAGGCAAGTGCTATCCAATCTTTTTCCCGAAGCCTCGAGTGATGGAACACCCATAACTATTATGGTAAGCCATTCCACTGGTTAATTGTTCTCATTGGCAGGAAATTTTTCCTTAATTCCAGATTGGATCTCTCTTTGATAAGTTTCCATCTGTTACTTCTTATCTTGCCCTCAACTGCTGTGGAGAATAGATTATCCCCCTCTTCACTGTGATATTCAAATATTGGAAGATAGCTATTATTTCATCTTCACCTTGTGGAAGTTAAAGAGGAAGCAGCTCTGGGAGAAGTAGATCATGAATATGAGTTGCTGGAGCAAGCCATAGAGTTTCTGAGAGGGGTCTTCAGGAACCTCAAGGCATATTGAATGGTAATACCAGTAGCTTAACCAATGCAGGTCCCAGCGGGGGATGGTACAGCTGTGCCTGCTGCTCAATTGCAGCGGCACCTACTTCTTTGGCACCAGCACCATCTCCAGCATCATAGCCAGCAGCTTCTCCAGCCATCCAACCAGCACCACCTGTCTGGGCTCCCACAACCAGGAGAAGAAACTGCAGACCACCAGCCTGAGTTCAGTGATCCTAAACAATTAGGGTTTTTCTTAGCCCAAGTTGGACCTGTATGTAAGAATACAAGCCAGATCTGCCCACCAAAGGGGCCAAAGGATGGTGTGGAACCATAGCATTGGCGGGGCTGCCACAAAGTGGAGGGTCACCTTCCGATGATGACCCGGAATCGCAAAACTTCAATTGATTTGTGACAGTGCTCTGAAGGTGCTTTGAAGATCCCTTGGCCAACACAAAGTCAGGACAAGGATCAGTACATAAGCCAGGGTCACCTACATCTAAGAGTTCTGAGACCTGACCTGCAGGCTAACTGACTCACCACAAGACATGCTAATGGAATGCTTCCAAGTTGGGCTGAATGATATCTATAACACCTGCATCTCCAGAATCACACCCTCCATGGCTGGTATGTACTAGCCAAAGAGGTCAAGATCAATCTAGGCTGTTCCTGTAACTGACCTACTCTGGATGGTGGTGGTCCTTTCTGAGAAAAAAAGAAGCCCCCAAACCACTGGTCCGCAAGGAGAGCACCAATATTTCACTGACTATTTTAAGTGCGGAAAAGAAGGGCACCAAGCCAACAACTGCCAAGTCAAAAGAACACATAGAAGAATCTACAAATCATTGGTATCAAAGATAGGTCAAACAAAACACGTCTTTCAGTACCTTTTTATAACCTTTCTCGACTCTCCTCTTTTCATTTTGCTTGTGAAAAAGGACTTTAAAAAACTGGTAACTTTGCTAGAGTGAGTTTCAGTTTAAAGCTTAAACTGGGCACAATTCCCTAGAAGTTTTTTTAAATTTCTTCATATCCTTGCCCAACTTCTTGCTTAAGATTCATAATTTAAGTAAGTTATTAAGTTAGTACTTAAATGCTAAAAATGTAATAGTCAGTAAATGAGTGTGATTTCCAAATAGAGATAATTATTTTTAAAAACCCAATAAAAGCAGAATTGTGCCATCTGCTAATAATGGCTTGTTTCCAGCTAGAATTTCAGCAGAGATTCCAAATTATTTTTATGAGCTGTTCGGAACCAGACTGCAGAGGTGAGGGACGAATGTCTCTGTGTCTGTGTGTGCATATCCCCACTTGTGCCCACTGCTTGTGAAATGGAGCTGCATGCATATGTGCTTTACAGCCACTCACAGAGACCCATCCCCCTTTCCATTCTCCTGTAAATTTGCAAAGCAGGAAATATAAGGGAACTCTGCTCCAGATTGCTCCTCATCTGTTTATCAGAATCTAGGAAAATGGTATATAGCACTTACTTTCCAGCCTTGGTCCAAGAATTTGTGCCTCATTCTAAAGGGATTCTCTAGGAGAGAGGGAAGAGTTGGCATTGTCTGTTTGTGTCTTTTGATTTTTTTTTAAAAAAGGTATCCCTCCCTCAGAAATGTGATTCTCTGTTTGAGACAAGGAAACATGTATTCTGTGCCTGTGTTTAGACTATGAATGATAGAGTTTGCAACCTGTTATTAGCAACAAGACTGTTAGTATAAATTGCCAGAACCTCTATTGCCCATTTAACTGTCCCCAAAACCTATATTGTTTGAGTTAATTCTAGAAATAAATGATAAGTTGATAAGTGAGATTCAGAACTGATATGCAATATTAACATTAATTTACATAATAGTAATGAAATAAATCCATTAACCTTAGTCTTTGATACACAACAAATGTTCTTCTCTAATGATGATGTTTTGGAAATTTCCAAAACACTTACTAGCATAGTGCTTGAATTAAGGATGATGAGTTCAATCCTTATTACCTGTTTGGACTTGAGCAGGAAGTATCCTGGTTTAGAAAATTGATATTTTGATAAGAACAAAACGTTTCCTTCTAAACAGGAATGTACATCAGCTACATAGAGCAACAGGAATTATGTGGTAAAACCTTTGTCAAGTTTGAAGATTTATTACCAGCTGCTCTGCAATAAACAAAGCTGAGAGTCAGAGAAGAATAGAATACTCAGCTATATAGAGACCTGCCACTGTTTCCAACAGAATGTGACTTAATGCAGAAGAGTCTAAATTTGATGAATGGTTTGGGATAAGATGTTAAATAAAATGCAACGGGACCTGAAGAGCCCATATTTTTCTTTTTTAAAAAAAAAAACCTACAGATCGAAGTGCTATATAAATACAACATAAATATTTATCGGTGAAACATTTCAGAAAATTGCAATTTTGGATGTTGGGAATGTTCCATTTTAAAATAATCTCTTGATTTTTCTTTGAAAGGGACAATTTTATGATTCCTTTATGGGATGGGATGATGAGTTGATGACTTCCTCTCAGGTACTGTTGCACTGTAGTGTGCGGGAGAGAGCGTCCACCAAGAAGTCCCCCCCCCCATATGTAATGGAGGGTAAAGTTGAAGTGGTTGAAACATTGAGCCCATGTACTTGTTCAGGAGACAGCTTCTGTGGAGTCTTCAATGCTTTTAGATTTTTGTCATCTGTCATACTTCGAATGGGATTTTACTGCCTTCTAGGAACTGCCTCCAGGTTAGAAGAGATCAAGGGGTGCTTGACTCTTGATGCTTTCTATATTTTATGTTCTACCTGGGAGAACACGGTCAGACAAATGGAGGCGAGCCAGGACTTCAAGTCAGCTAACAGTTTATTTCTAACAGATTGCCAAACGCGGCACTTCACATTTCGCGCGTATTAGCTAACTGGCAACAGCTGAGCCCTGTTTGACAGCTCTTTATATACCCCAGCTGTCAAACAGGTAACCAATCAGAAACAAGGACACGCCCCCCCTAGCCAAAAGGACCAGAGAGGAAACTGTAGTACACAACACTCCTTCACACTTAGAATGTGCATGCGTAGTCTTTTAGGTGGCTTGGCTGCCTCTGGACCCGCCTAGACTTTCTCAGGGCACCTTCCGCTGGTGGGACTGGAATAGTGCTGGCCCTGGCTGGAGACATGGCCCTCTCAGAGTCCGGCGCTGCTGGAGCATCACAGGGAACCACTGGTAAGTCTTTTGATGGACTTTTTATTAATTTCTCTAGCTCCTCTAGGGAGATAGACCAGGGCCTTGTGGCCTGTTCCTGACTCTCGACTTCCTGCATGTCGGATAAGCCCTCTGACTGCTTCACCAAATTGGCACCTCCTTGTCTATTTCTCAGCTGGTTTATATGGCGCTTCCAAACCCTGCCGTCCTCTACCAGGTACGAGCACGGACCTGTTATTTTCCGGACTATGCCGGGGAGCCATAGCTGATGGCCCGAGTAGTTTCTAGCATATACTGGCGTGTCAATGGACCCCTTGCGTTGACTCTGTGAGTCTAAAGGCCGATCTGGGGCATATTCAGGGTGCAGTCTATCTAGTGTTGTCCTAATGCGCCGTCCCATTAAAAGTTCAGCTGGGCTCTTGTTCATAGTTGTACAAGGGGTGGCATGCTGCCACAGTAAATACATATCTATGTCTACTTGCCAGTTTAAGGGGCCAAACCTGGCAAGAGCCTCTTGCTGGACCACACATTCAGCCAGGCCATTAGCCACTGGGTTGAATGGGGCAACAAAGGCATGGCGGACCCCCAACTGGGCAAAGAACGAGGCAAGCGCCGCAGCAATAAACTGGGGCCCATTGTCAGAGACCACTAAGTCTGGTAACCCATGGGTCATGAATACCCGGGGTAGTACCTTAATGATGGCAGGGGCAGTTGTTGCAGACAATAAAAACAATTCAACCCATTTAGAGAAAGCATCAACAATGACAATAAACATTTGGCCCTTAGCCGGACCAGCCAAGTCCATATGAATTCTGGACCACGGAGCCCTCGGTTGTTCCCAGTTCTGAATGGGTGCTTTGGGGCAAGCCGGTCGGGTTTCCTGGCACTGTGGACAGCTAGCCACCCACCAGGCAATGTCCTGGTCCATGCCCGGCCACCAAGCATAGCTCCGGCCAAGTGCCTTCATCCGGACAATTCCCAGGTGACCGTCGTGTAGCATAGTCAGCACCGCTTCCTGGAGGGAGGCTGGAATCACCACTCTGCTGCCCCACAGAAGGCAACCTTGCTGCGAAGAAAGTTCTTGTTGCCTGGTGGTGAAAGGTCGCCATTCAGTGCCCAGTGGGTATGAAGGCCAACCACATTCAGTCCATCCCAGCACCTTGGCGAGCACCTTGTCCCAGCTGGTATGTCTGGCCACATCAGCTGCGGTAATAGGTAACTGCATGTCATCGATCAGCAACACTGTAGAGGCAGGCACCGGATCCTTGACCGCAATAGGCAACAGGCATCTGCTTAAAGCATCCGCTTGGCTGATGTGCTTGCCAGGTCTATAATGCAACATATAGTCATAGGCAGCCAAAAATACAGTCCATCTGGGGGACAGGATCTGGGGTGTCTGCTTGTCACCTGCAATGATGCCCAGTAAGGGCTTGTAATCCGTCACAATGTGAAAATGACAGCCGTAGAGATAGGAGTGAAACCGCTTCACTCCAGCCACTATAGCCAACGCCTCCCTGTCCAATTGGCTATAGTTCTGTTCGGGCGAAGACAGCGTTCGGGGAAAAAATGCTACTGGAGCCTCGAGTCCGGATGGCAGCCGATGGCTCAGAACCGCCCCAACCCCATACGAGGAAGCATCACAGGCCAACACTACAGGGAGGTGTCGTCATACTGCAATAGAACACTGTCGGACATGAGGAATTTCTTAATAGTCTCAAAAGCAGCTGCCTCACGACGTCCCCAAACCCACTTCGCCGAACGGTCTAAGAGTCTGTGCAGGGGTTCTACAATAGAAGCCTTATGTGGCAGGAAAATGTTATAAAAATTCAATAGCCCCAGGAAAGTTTGCAGTTTGGCTTTTGAGGTAGGCATTAGGGCGTGACTAATAGCCTATACTTTCTCAGGGGTAGGATGAATCCCCGTCTTAACTATTAAAAATCCTAAAAATTCGACTTGGGGAACCGCGACCCGGCACTTGGATGTCTTAAGTTTCAAGCCGACGTCACAGAAATGACAAAGTACAGACCGCAGGCGGGCCAGGAGAGAGGTTAGGGAGCGGGCAGACACCAGGACGCAGTCAAAGTAAGGGACGATGCCCGGTATGCCTTGTAACAACCTTTCCATTAAATTTTGAAAGAGCCCAGGTGCCACACTGACTCCAATTTGTAGCCAGTTACACTTGAACGCACCCCTATGACTATAGTCTGTACTTCAGCAGTTGCCTCATCCACAGGCAACTGCTGATATGCCTGTGCTAGGTCTAGCTTCGGAAATATGGTCCCCTGTGCCAGAGAGGTCAGCAGATGCTGCACCACGGGCACCAGGTATGCGCTCTGCTGCAATGCTCTGTTTAATGTGCATTTAAAATCAGCGCAGATCCTCACAGATCCATCACTCTTCACTGGCGTCACGTTGGAATTTCCCAACGAGCGTGGTCTATGGGTTCCAGTACCCCTTGGGCCAGTAACTTATCAATTTCTGCATCCACTTTAGGTTTTAATGCAAAAGGTACCTGCCGCGGCTTCAGCCTCCGCGGCGGAACCTGTGGGTCTAAAGTGAATGAAATGGGAGTACCAGTGTACTTCCCCAAACCCTCCCCGAAAACTTTGGGGAATTCCTTAATTAACAAATCCAAGTACGTAGTACTCTGGATTTGATCAATGCATGTTATGCCAAGTCCCAAAGCCACAAACCATTCCAATCCTAATAAACTTGGCCGGGGACCTTTCACCACAATCAGAGGTAACTTTTTATTGAACTGCCTTACAGAGATATTTACCCAGCACTGGAATGGGATTTCCTTGGAAATCCCTTAATCTTAACAGACAAGGCTCAAACTTGCCTTGGCTAAAACCGGGATAATCCTCTTAACCGTTGCCCAAGAAATTATTGATACAGCTGATCCTGTGTCAACCTCCATCTGACAACCTCCAAGTGGACCATAAGGAAAATTTTCCCTCTCGGACCATGGACAATCTGGTCCACTTCAGCTTCTTCCCTATCCTCATTTACAGCAAAACAGGAATCCCTTTTCCTGAAACTCTGGCCTCTGGCAAATTTGGGGTTTTTTTCTGAAGCCCTGACTGGTGCTAGGGAAACTGCCTTCCTGCACATTTGCGCAAGGAGTGGCCGCCCTGCAGACCCTTGCTAAATGACCCCTTTTTCCACAACGGAGACAAATGGTATTTTTAAACCAGCACTCGATTCTATCATGCCTACCTCCACACCCTGGGCAGGTAGTTTGGGGCAAAACCTTACCCTGTTGACCTCTGGCCTGCTCCACCTTCAGGCAATGTATTTCATTGTTTCCAATAGCCCCTTCCTCAGGGAAAATGTCTTCATGATGCACCTCAGTGGCTTTTTCTCCGGCTTGTGGTCTACAGAACCTCTGGATGTCTTCTGTGGATTTTGTTGACAGTTCTACTGCCCTGGCTTCATCTAAAGCTGTTTGTAAATCTAACTCAGGTTTGGCCAATAGATGGTGCTGAATACGGAGGTCTCTAATCCCCCCCCTACAAGCTGATCTGTAATGGGCTCATCCAAATCTTTAAACCGACAATGGAAGGCCACAGCTCTTAAGGCAGCCACATACTCATTAATTGTCTCTCCCTCACGCTGAAACCTTCTATAAAAGGCAAACCGGCGTGAAATGCGAGAAAGTGATGGGGCATAATGATTTTTTAACTTTGTCATCAAAACATCCCATGTCACATCGTGGACGGAGTGCGGAACCACTAGCGATTCTGCAAGGTTAAACATCTCCGTGCTACACCGATTAAAAAAAAACACGATTTCTTTCTCTGTTCAGTTAGGTTAGTAAAGCCATTGGCTTCTAAAAAAACACTCAAATCAAGAAATATAAGAGTCCCAAGTCTGCGTGGCCAGGTTAAAACTGACTAATGTATTCATTGAAGCCATTCTGAGATAACTTTTCTCCCCTTTGGCTTAACCCCAAATCAGTCTTCATAGTAGAAGTGACTTGCTCGACGTCTCGTCGAGGGATTCCCTGAGGGAATTCAGCTCTAGTGACTTCGCTCTTCGATTAGTGACTTTCTCAGCTCTGCCTGGGCTCAGCCTCAGAGGCATCCCATCCTCGTCACCAATGTTCTAGCTGGGAGAATGCGGTCAGACAAATGGAGGCGAGCCAGGACTTCAAGTCAGCTAACAGTTTATTTTTAACAGGTTGCCAAATGCGGCACTTCACATTTCGCGCATATTAGGTAACTGGCAACAGCTGAGCCCTGTTTGACAGCTCTTTATATACCACAGCTGTCAAACAGGTAACCAATCAGAAACAAGGACCCCCCCCCCAGCCAAACAGATCAGAGAGGAAACTGTAATACACAACATTTTCCATATCTTATCTATAGGATGCCAGATGCATACTAGGTAATGAAATAAAAGGAAAGAAATTTATAAATAACTGTCTTGCACTATGCTCTCGATTCCTTCCTTTTTTAGAGACCCATCTTTGTTCAGCTGAATAAACACATTAGTTTATCATTGCATACATCTGGAGTCTGTCTTTTATTTCACTGAGCTACACCTATTGATCTGCATAACAGGAGTTAATTAGGGAATCTTTATGCGCAAACTCTTAGTTCTGGCCTTGCCTCCTGTAAACCCTTGGCGTTAATAAAAGTAACTTTTTCGCTATAAGAGTTGAGAGTGTTTGTTTCCTAAAAGACCAAACTGAGCCAGGTATGACAGGTGGTCCAGCAAGCCAGAGGGAAATCAAAGAAATCTGGCAACGGATTAGTGGTAACATTTTCCCACAGTAGTTCTCTGTATCACTGCCCTGAGACAAAAACCAGATCTAATATGTAACCCCTATGATGTATTGGACTCTTTAATATTTGGATGCTATAGGAAATACCTTTTAGTACTCCCAGCACCATAACTGGATGTTGACAGGGTATCCTAGTTTAGTGTTTTATTATTTATATAGTTACTGACCAAAATGTAGAATTAAAATATAAAACATCCAGTGTAAATGTCCCATACACTGCAGAAAAAACCGAACATACAGAACATTACATTCATTCACATCCATTAGAATCTAACTACAGTACTACTACTACTACATTTGGCTATTTTACTGGAGTCTTCACAATACTGGTATAATAATTTAATGGGAAGCAGCGTTACCTGTTGAAATCATCCAAATAATCTGCAATATTTTTTTCATAAAGTTTTTTATTTTTCATTTTCATAACATATAGTCGTATGTATACAATTACATAGCCAACATCATATTGTATTATTAAATGTTTATATCAATTCGTCTTACCATCAACTCCCCAAAAGAAAAAGAAAAAAACCAGTTATTGGCTCTTCTGCTCTCCATACACTATATTTATGCGTTCACTTTCTTCTCCCTCTCTCCCCTTCCCTACCCCCTTTGTTCTCTATATCTTCCTTCTCTTCTCTACTTCCCCTTCCTCTCTCCTACTCCTCTCTCCCCTTTCCACTCCTCATTTCTCTCCTCCTCTTCCACCCTCCTGCCCTCTCCTATCCCTCTCTCCTTACCTGTCTCCTTTTCTGCCCACTCTTCATCTCGTTTTCTTGTTCAGCTTCTGCGCAAGCTCCATTTTATGTTGATGGTATTTATAGTTCCTTTTCAATATACATATTTAATTTTAAACATATAAAGTAAAAATAGAACAAAGAAATATACATATATAGTCATTGTACTTGTTAGGGATGTAGTAGAGCCGAGATGGCGCAGTGGATAGAGTGCAGTACTGCAGGCCACTTCAGCTGACTGCTAGATCAGCAGTTCAGCGGTTCAAATCTGACCGGCTCA